ACCAACAAGTGTTTTTAGTCAGTTTTACTAAACAGAACGATGGTTGTCAGGGTACCAACAACGTCTTCTGACAACCATCGTTCTGTTTAGTAAAGCTGACTAAAGTACCAACAACGTGTTCTGACAACCATCGTTCTGTTTAGTAAAACTGACTAAAATACCAACAACGTGTTCTGACAACCATCGTTTTGGTTAGTAAAACTGACTAAAGTACCAACAACGTGTCCTGACAACCATCGTTCTGTCTAGTAAAGCTGATTCTATATATTCATCTACTGATTCCAACATTAACGTTCGTTCAACAACATCACTCATCAGGAGTCAAGTTACTGCATCCCACTAAAACAATACAATCTGTTCATTTGGCATCGAACTTATGAAAAAAAGTAATAATTTATCTTAGACGTTACCTCGTTCCTCCACTTGTATTCCGATACAAGTTGAAATCGGCGGGTGCCCAGCCATCCCGCTCTCTCTCTACCGACCATTCACAAGATAGAGATTATCGTCAAGGGCGCGCGCGATGCAGGGAACGGCAACTAGTCGTCATGCTACTAATCTCACTGGTGTGGGGATTCTTACAAGCCAGGGGGGCTTCATAGTTATAATTCTTTCCCCGCCCGGAACTAGAACGTTCTTCCAAATTTGTAGCACGTCGTGTAATAGAAGCTAATTTAAATACACGAGGAATTTGTTTTTTTAATTAAAAATTGTAAGCAACACAAGAAACGTGTTAAAAACTACTATTTGAACTTTTCTATTAATTAAGATACTTAAAATAGCATTTCCTGTATGAAATAGCCAGCATAAAACTTTTCTGTCAGACGCTGTTTTATTGGTCAGTTACTCCAACAAAAACAAAATGTCCTCGAGTTCAGCAAGTAAAAACAAATGCCATAAAGTAGTACTATATTAACCAATAAACGTGTTAGTTGTACTGAATACCATTTGTCGGCGTTCACTTGTTTCACGAAACATTCACATGTCAGATGGTGGTTTCAAGTGCAGTCATGAATGTGTGACGTTATAGGTATTTGTTATAACTGATCAAAAATACTGGTTTGATTTGTTTGGAAGTTCGTGCAAAGCTACACGAGGGTTATCTGTACTAGCGGTGAAAGACTAGTCATCGCCACCCACCGCCAACTCCGGAGCTACTCTTTTATCGACGAGTAGTGGGATTGACCGTCAGAATATAACGTTCCCATGACTGAAAGGGCGAGCACGTTTGGTTGAACCCGTGACCTGCAGATTGCGAGTCGAGCACTATAACTACCCATTCATAAAGACGGAAATGTAAGGTTTAAACAGCTCAGTACAAAGTCGCTTTATCCAACAAAACTAGTCTTTAGATACGGCACGAAATATCCAAAGTTTTAAAAAATACACGAATATTTGCCCAGCTTATATATTATACCGTTGTACACTTCACGAGATAATATACTAAAACTCAAAGCGTCCTTGTAGATACCTCTACCGTAAGTTGAATCGGCATGTTTCTCCCCACCACGTGTGTATTTCTGATTATAATCTGAGGAAGACTGATAAGAGAGGGGACGATATTTTTAGCAATACACACAAGCATTAGCAGCAATAGATATAATGCATTTACCATAGCAGCAGAGTTCATAGGGCATGTCGGTTTTATGACACAAACTAGATAAACACTCAAAAATGTAGCAACCATATTATCCGGATAAATAGGAACAAAAGATATGGTTTACAAATTATGGAATTACAACCATCATAACTCAAACATATACTAACAATTGGTTGTACATACCAGCATATTTAAGACAAGATGGTTGAACCTGATACAAGTCCTAAATTACAACAATGACAGTAGAGTTACAGGAATTAAAACAGTGGATAAATCACATTAAAGAAGTTCCAGCACTTTCGACAAGCACGCTTTCTTCGAAGTTAAAGGTCTACAGATAGAGGGCGAGTGTGTATTTGTTAAAAGATGTTTGAAGCATGCACTAGTTTGTGATGTTCGATACGTACAACAGTAAATCGTTAGATTTGCAGTGTTAATAAGACTGGCGTATCTATTTAATATGATTCATTAAAATGTTTAATTAATTTCTGAATACTTCTCTAATTGTAATAATTACAATTTACCTTAATTATTTATTTTGTATTGGTGCCTTAATGTAGAACTTTGGGAAAAACTAAGGTCTCCAAAGTGGACGAAACTTGAAATATTATTGGAATTATGGCCGATGATCCCAGCAGATGATAACGTTATTTATAAATTTAATGTCTTTCTAGTCTGTTTGTTTGTTGAATTTAGCGCAAAGATACTTGCTACTGGCAGGGTAAACAAAAAACTGAGAAGGGAAATAAATGTATTGTTCACCAGAATTTCTGGCAGCAAGTAAATACGGTAGACGTTTCATGATGCTAGTTTGAGAGATGAAATACTTATAAAATACGGTAGACGTTTCATGATGCTAGTTTGAGAGATGAAATACTTATAAAATACGGTAGACGTTTCATGATGCTAGTTTGAGAGATGAAATACTTATAAAATACGGTAGACGTTTCATGATGCTAGTTTGAGAGATTAAATACTTATATAAAACATTTCACAAAATGAATTATAGCAAACACCATGCTTCAATCCCTAATCAAAATGGAACTTGAATTTTACAACTTGAAATAGGAGACAAAATTATTTTTGGAAGAGAGGAGGGTTTAGGTTTAAACTGGCTTACAGACATGATGGACAAATGAGGGAAGTAAATAACAACAAGTTTAAACGTTAGTTTCGTATTTAATTGAAATTAGCTTCTGATAAAAGAAAACACATTAAAAATTAACACTGTAAGAAATCCTAAAATATCTTGTCGATAACAACACAATGTTCAAAACATATATACGACTATACAACAAATGTGAAAGAAAGGAATTTGGATGAACTGAACGACTTTATAGGAGTTCATGACGATATGTGTATTTATGCAAGAGAACTAACCAATTGATGAAGTGGTCCGGTAAACATATCAATGTTAACCCCGACTTACTAACATGTCTAGATGAAATATGATTTGAGACTTGTCACTATAATTATTAAACTTACCGACATGTTTGACATGAGACTTGTCAATGTTGTTATATTACTGTTTGTAAGGTGAAAAGTATGTACTAAATAGATGTGTAGCAACGTCTTAATGTGAAAATATTTTGTTATACAGTAAAAGCTTCAGCGAGGCTTAGTAATCAGTTAAGATTATTCAGTCTGTTTTCAGTCAAACTTGATGAGGAAATTATAGCACGTTCATATTAAGCCTAATCCTTTAATAGAATGTACACAACATCTGAGTTTATAAACCAATGTGCTCAAATATGGATTAAGTTTTCAGTCAAACTTGATGAGGAAATTATAGCACGTTCATGTTAAGCCTAATCCTTTAATAGAATGTGCACAACATCTGAGTTTATAAACCAATGTGCTCAAATATGGATTAAGTTTTCTTTCAAACGAAAAGCTCCCTCGTTAGCAACAAATAAAAAGGTGTTAATAGTTTCCCCCTAGTCCAGCAAAAGATTGGAGTTAATTAGTCACAGGGTCTGGATGAACAAACTATGGCTGTAGTGCGAGTTCTTGGAATCCACCCCACGTGTCGCCAACGGTCTCACTTGAACAGAACCCTGCAATAACTAATCTCAGCTCCGTCTTTCAGTACAAAAGGGGCCATTGTCTAGTTTACCAGAGTGTGGAGAAAAGGAGGGGAACTGGTTTGGACGCCTTTTATTTTTATCTCACTAAGCCTCGCCCCACACAGTGCAATCAAAGATTAACACTCGCCTTCATTCCGGACAGCATCGTGCTTTGATGGCCCATTCCCAGAGTGCCTAGCCATTCGTCAAAGCCATGGCCTCGCGGGCATAAACTCCAACTAGGCCACATGGGGTCAACTTACGCGAGGAGGACAGAACAGCCAAAAAGTTTCACCCGCTTGACTCCCCAAGTCTTCAAGCTACACTACGGGTGACAAAATCACCTACCGATAAACAAAACAGTCTGAAGGCTGGACATCTGGGCAAAATCCCGTGCTTTATACTCACCCCATTACATGAGGGCTGGGATCGGCCACCCACTTGAGCTCAGTGCACTATCCTTGCTACCCTACAGAGATTTCAGATAAACTTGACTGACCAAGTTTAATGACACTTCAAACATCCCAGACCATACGAGGAAGAACATGTCAATCAATTATAATTTTCTAAACTAGAAACATTCTCGTGCCTTAGAGTTTAATAAAACCATTCATATTTACATATTTATGTCGAAAACAGCATAATTTGCGTAGTTACCACTGGCAACGGTTCTAAAACGACAAGGTTTTTTTTAAAAACATCATACAATGTATTTCTACCACTGGCAACGGTTCTAAAACGACAAGGTTTTTTTTAAAAACATCATACAATGTATTGCTACCACTGGCAACAGAACTAAAACGACAAGGTTTTTATAAAAACATCATACAATGTATTGCTACCACTGGCAACAGAACTAAAACGACAAGGTTTTTTTAAAAACATCATACAATGTATTTCTACCACTGACAACAGAACTAAAACGACAAGGTTTTTTTAAAAACATCATACAATGTATTGCTACCACTGGTAACAGTACTAAAACGACGTAATCATTTTATAACGTGCCAAATTGTTTGTTGTCACCGGGAACAGTGCTTTAGGATATAAAAACTGGTCCAGCATCAACACAGTGCTAAATCTTTACGTCATGTAAAAGACAATAATGTATGCATATCGCCTCGTTGTTTTAACTCAGCTCAGGTTATTGTTTCCACCAAAATCTTGGTGCGAACACAAACTATTTACTTATTCTAAAGTAGTTTGTAGTGTAGACAGTTGAACTTAGGACTGACACTTACCATTGCCGGTGGCCCCAGGGTACCATTGGGGTGTGGATACGGTGACACAACATATCCTATTGGTGCAGCGTGTGGAATCGGATCAAATACTTTAGCTGGAGAGAAAATAAATATTAAGTAAACACTAAACTTTTTAAAAAAATCAACTGTATAAAATAACACACTTTAATTACGAATTTTTTGATTGATTTAAAAGATATATTATTATCTAATTCAAAATATTTACGGCCAAATTATTAGTTCATTTTAATTACTAAAACATTAATAGTTATAAAAAAAATACGTGCAAAACGAATGTTTAAGTATCGCGAAGCTGAAAAATATACACAGTACTCCCAACCCAGTTAACATGCTGAAAAATATACACAATACTTCC